ACTCGAATAACCAGTATTACCTTGATTTCTGACTCACTACGGATGAATTGACGGATGAGATGACGTCACAGGGACGGATCGAGTTTTGTACGTTTGACGTTTAGGTTGCGGCAAATGTGAGCTGTAATCTTTATACTTCATGAAACTCCTCCCTACCTCCCTCCTCGTTCTCCAGTGGTCCCACCTGCTGCTCTCTCACAATAGAGTGCCGGATGGCGTGGCGTTCAGGCCAGCCGCAATGGGGGCTCACCTCCTCTCGCCTCCAAAGCGACCGCAGGATTGGAGCTGCTCGCTACGCGCTGTATGTAGCACAAAGACAGCCTAGATCTGCAATACGGAGCCTGTTCGACAGCACAATTAAATATTGACACGTTTTGTACTGAACAAAATCACTCAAAGTGTCTGACTTTGATTATGGAAGACTAGTCATGAGCACTCAGTAAGTGCAATGTTAGTTAAAAACACATGGCAATATTGAAGCAATATACTGATTCATCTGGAACTGAAAAAAATGAAGCCATAAGTCAGAACTGCACCACCCAAAACTGCTATCAACAGATGTTTCTCAACTTTTAAACGGCCAAAACCACCGATATCTGTGGACAAAGCTGTGATTTTTGATCTTTTTTTCACTGGATTCCCTCCTCACACTCATCCTAAAGGCCCTAAAAATAACAATCTGTTCTCCTTGAACCTCAACAGTGTTATTTTGTCTGCTAATATCGCAGTTCCTCAAAATTGGCACACCATGAAAGATGAGTCATGACTCTATTTACATGGTGATGATTAATAAGGAGCGGTTTATAAGTCAGGTGACATCATCACCTCCATGGGCGATGTTGGTATGCGTTTAAATGATTTAGAGAATTCAGTTATTATTATATTGCTGATATTTACACTAAAGAATACATCAGCATTCAAGTCAAGTCACAAGACACTGGATAGTTTGGCCAATTCATTGCATTTACGACAGACAAAACGGAAATAGTTTTTGTTAGCAGCACTTAGTAAATCTGTTCTACTTGAAATGACAAGTCTGTGACTAAACCCAGATATCAGATACTCTACAGAGAACGATCATCACGCAAACTGATCGCAAGGTTCAGGGCTTTGTAACAGAACACGTATTAAGGCAGATAATATACTGGAGCACTTTGTCAAGGAAGCTAAAGGAAATGTAGCCGAGACGGCAGATGGGTGAGGTGAACCTGCTCTGCTAGTTTCGTCAAACAAGAGACATCAAATTCATCTCTTTCCAATAACGTACTCCCCGCGAGCCAGCGCTCTCTCAAAGAAGGATGCAGAGAGAGCGCGACTGGCCGATTGTTTTATGTAACGTAGAGGTTAGAAACTTTGAAAGTGCTTTCAAAATGCAACAAATTTTGTATTTAATGTGATAGTGTTCTGTGTGCCTTTTTCTTCTTTCTTTTAAGTTAAGATCTTAAAAGGATAGTTCACCTAACATTCGGTCTTCATTTACTCTCCCTCATGTCGAGCCAAACTTGTATGGCTGACTTTCGTCTGTGAAACACATTCAAGCATCAAAAAGAATGCAAAAGAACTATGAGAGTATCATGAAAATGGCCCAGACGGGTTAAGAATGACATGAGAGTGAGTAAATGATGTCAGAATTTTATTTTTGGGTGAATAGTTCTTTAATAACCTTGTTTTTCAGTTTGATTCTGTTGGTATTTGTTACAGGACATATGTAGACCCAGGTTTTACAAAGGTACAAAACCAAAGTCCCCTCAGAAGTGTTCCTGTATAACCCCACCGTGTGGAGTTTGGAGCTTCTTGGTCAGCGTCGTAACAGTGCTGTTTTGTTTTGTTTTGTTGTCAATCAGTATATGCCGGTGAAAAGTATTAATAGCAATATTTCTTATGAATAGTTCAGAATGAACAGATTAGTGAATGTGTTGCCATATCATAATCACACCTGCTGGTGAACACCATTCCTTAGACATCCTACAATTCTGCATTTACCTTCATGGTTGTTGACCACACATAAGCTAATGTGCTGTTAAGATTTACAAAAAGATTTATTGAACAAAACGTTTTGTGTGTTTATTTTCTCTGGTGGGATTTTCAACATAACTCAAATTCACTTAACTGCACTGCTTTTCCATTGTTTTCTATGGTCACTTACACAGCAGTAGAACACTGTTAAGTTCACAAAGACTTTGGTTATTTACCGGAGTGACAACCACAACATTTTTAAAACTCGCAACCACATTTTCATCAAAGTCCTGCAGTGTGATCCTAACCGGATTGGTAGACTAGTTGTCTTGTCACTTCTTGTACAGTGCGAGAGGGTCGCTTTGTGCTACACAAACGTCTAGTGTTTCTGTTTTTTATGTGTGTATTCGGTAACTTACAAAGTTGCAGATATTTGCTGTCTGTTATCTGAAGGTTTTAGATCCAGTCATTGTCTTCCACCGGATCTCCTCCCATCAATTTTGCTTGACTTTGGGCAGGGGTGTAAAAAGTATTCAAAAATTATACTCAAGTGAAAGTACAGATACTCAGTGAAAATTTTACTCAGTTAAAAGTACAAGTATCTGGCCAAAAGCATAATTGAGTAAAAGTAAAAAAGTACAATTTTAAATTGTACTTGAGTATTAAAGGGGTCATCGGATGCCACATGCACTTTTACAAGCTGTTTGAACTGAAATGTGTGTTGGCAGTGTGTGTACACAACCACCCTATAATGATAAATTATAGGTATAATCCGCCCAGTGTTTTTTTTATTTTTATCTTCTGGTTAAATCATTTCACCTTTCTCAAATCGAGCCGCTCTCAGATGCCTGTCTGTGTGACGTCACAAAAACAGGCCCCTCCCACGATAGTTTGATTGACAGTAGCATTTCAGCACAGACTGGACTGGCGTCTTACCTTAGACCCGCCCTGAGTGAGCTGTCATCAGTCCGCCATTGTTTCACCGCTGGAGCAAATGTAGACTAGAATGACTCCTAAGTGATTGAGGTGTTCTGTTGTTGGATGTAATAATGAACACAGCAGTCGTCATTTACTCCCGACATCTAAGCCGCTGAAGACGCAGTGGATTACATTTGTTTTTGAAGGGAATGCACCCCCCGATCTACCTAAATGCATCTATCTTTGCGCGAATCATTCGTGATCCAGCTTCACGTCCAGAAGAAGTGAGTGTACGGTTTTTTAATGAATCTTTACAAATCGCCTTTCCTAATAACCTGCTAGTTAGCAAGTTTCACGATGAATGCAGAGAGCGGCTTGGAAGAGAGGGGCGGGGCGAGCAGAGCTCATTTGCATTTAAAGCAGCATGCAAGAAAACAGCTTGCTCTGAAAAGAGCTGTTTTTGACAGGGTAAAAACGGTGCTGTTTTATACTACCATTGAGAAATTTTAACTGTTACAGAATTTTCATTAAGACCCTAAAGAATCATATCAACTAGTGGAAAATGGCCATCCTATGACCCCTTTAAAAAAGTACAAGTACTCCAAATAAATAAATACATGAATAAATAAAATAAATACAGGACATCCAAAGATAATGCTTGAAAAACTACACAATTACACGGTGAAGACGACGGTAACCCAAACAACACCTATTGATGAATCAATGTCTTCTTGAGTTAAATGATAGACGTAAGAAAACATACAAATACTAATATTTTAAACTTTACCGTCATGTTCACTTTGTGTGGTTTCTGAAGCGGTCCTGTACACTTGCATTATGTGCGCACACTAACCGTCCAGCATGTTTAGATAGAAAAACAATTGAAAAGCAGTGTAATGCACAAAAAAAAGCCCCTTACAAACCCTCATAGAAATCATAGAAAGTATTTCCCGCTACATCAGTCAATTAAACAATAGTTTTGGTGTGTAAGGGGGTTTGTGGGTTTAATTATGTGCATTTCAGCTTAACAAACTAATGATTCCCTATTAGAACGTTTCAATTAATTTGTTCAGCAGTGCATTTAGAGTTCACTCTCAAAGGAAGCTTCCTCTTCTGCTGTGATTTTCACATGACCCTGAGCTCACTTGTTCTCATTCACACATCCATGTACGTTCTCGCCCTCTTTCTCACTCTCATTCTGATCACATATGAGGCAAGAGCCCGATTTCCAGACAGCTCACCACACAAGAATGCTCACAAATTACACAAGCGGAGAAACTGTTGTTTTTTCCACTGTTCTCGAAATCAACCACCACTAAATATTCCTCTTACCCAAGTCAAATCCGATCGTATTGTGGGTAAAAGGCTTTTCCAACAGTTTGAAAAATGTCCATTTCACACATACTGTCTGCTCAGTGCAGTTCTGTTGAATTTAATTTGTTTCATTTAATTATTACCTGGAACAAAAGAAAGTGTAAAACTACGGTACAAAATCTATTTTTGGTTCCTGCTCTACTTGCTTAAAGCATAAGCACAAGTCAATGGCAGCCATGTTGACAGTGGAATGGTGTTACTCTTGAAAAATGTTGAGGAGATACACCTGAGACAAATGTGGTTAATGCAATAATATTCCCATTACTGCAGAATCCTATTATTACAGCATAATTAGGTGGTTATCAGACATATTATCCTCAGAGGAGCATCATGATTGGCAGATTATTTTGGCCTGCTAAACTAGACAGAAACAACTGATTCAATGAAGTCAGTGATGGCTGACCTCTATATAAGCCTCAGGCACACAGTGTAGTGTGCTAATGTGGACACGTTCATTTGAATGGGATTAATAATGGGATTTTAAAACTCTCCCTCTCTCTCTCTCTCTATATATATAATACTATATACCCCCCATGATTACATTGCAATGAATGATGTAACATAAAAACAACCTGCCCTTATTGAGTAAGAATAGTTTCTGACAGTAACCATGTTACATATATTTTTTGTAATCCATTCACACCATCAGTGATAACAAATCCTCATTTTCTTGGAATCAAGGTTTCCAACTGGTGCGTCTCTCATTCGGCTGGAATTTTGAATTTGGTATCAGCCTACAGCCGTTTTTCCTCACATTTGGACAAATATGATAGATCATTTAGTAATAACTAATATCTGTCTCAGTTAATTGTTTAACACTTGTTAAAATATTGACACCATGTATGTATGTTACAACACTATGAATTCAGAAGGCATGGCCACTCCACAATCATTTGCCTTTTTAACAAAATATTAAAGTTAATAAGGAAGAATGAATAAGAGAAGAATTTTCCTTAGTCTATAAACAGTTTATACAATTCAATTTCATCCATAAGAGACACAACATCACAAAGGACTGGACTGGAATTCTTCAGTGCTGTTGATTAGCCTCATTAAAGACAATCACATCATATGACAAGCATGAAATATCAAGGGTGCAATCTAAAGAAATGGAATTGCTATAGCGCTATAGTATGCAACAATTAGAATCTTTGAATATTCTCAAAATATTCAGATATCATTAAATATATAGTATTAGAATTAACAATGGTGGAGGTATGGTCCGAGCCAGGGGAACAAAATAGAAGGTCTCCCAGAGAGACAGCTGCACTTGTCAAGTCAGATTAACAATAGGTGTAAGAGAAAACCTTAAACTTGTTGTAGCTTTCAATCTCAACTCAGGGCAACTAATGTTAGTTGTCCCCATGACAATGAATGTTGGCCTTTGTGAGTTGGATGCAATGTTTGCTGTCTTCTGATTGAAGTCAAATTTAACATTTAATATAATTGAATATAATTTAATCCATCGTCCGTCAAAACTCCAAACAGAGATACACTTTGTATA